GGCTTTATGTACATGTTACATATTTTTAGTATATTTGAAGTATATTTTTTGTGTATGTCAGGTAATAATTCCCCCCCAAAATTTTGGTATATTAGAAGACATATTTTTTTCGGTATAAAATTTCATGTCCTCGTTTTTTTCAGTATATTTTTGCGTATATTTCAAGTAAAAGAAAAAAAGGCATAATTTTTTATTGTTCAGTATATGTTGTGTGTATATGGAGTATATGTTAAATATATGTTCAACATATTAGAATATTTGTTTGTATATGGAATATAAGTAAATGTTATAATATGTTTGTATATACTTTTATGTATAAAAGTAAAAAATATATATATATATATATATATATATATATATAATTTTTTTGTGAAAGACTTGTTTTTTATTGCACATATACTGAATATGTACTAACATAAACTCAAAATATACCACCTGGCGGCTGCGTGAATTATAATATTGCAACATACACTGGACATATACTAACATAAACTCAAAATATACTACCTAGCGGCTGCTTGTACAAGTTGCGTGAAAGTAGGGATTGACTCGAATTTGAATTGAAGATCACGTTTTTTTTCCCCTGATTGTGGCGGAAATCAAGGTAACTGAATGAATTCTGAATGGAAGATCACGATTGGATGCAATCTATTAAATAAAAGAGCAGTTTTAGGTATAGATGAAAATACTTTTTCCTTAAGGTAAATTTAAAAATATTTTAATATCTAGTGGGAGGGGTAAAAATTTCCCTTTTTTTTGTGCCCGAGTATAAGCTAAAACTCGGCCACCCTTATTTTGCCCCAAGTGTTCGAATTTTTCCAAGTCCTAAGCCTAAGAATAATAAGGAGGAATTTGCACCCCTTACTTTACAATCCTAACTATATTACAATTCTACATCCATTATATCAATATTTATAATTGTACCAAAATAAGTCTAAATTATTGCAAATATACCTAACTTTAACCGTTTAAATTAATTGAGATAATTAATTGACAGTTACCGATTTTACGGGATGAAGATAATATCTCTCTCCCTCTTCGTCTCGCTCTCTTACTCTCTCTCTCTCTCTCTCTCTCTCTCCCTTCTCGCTTTGTCTTCGTCACTCTCCCTCCATGAGGCAAAATTTTCATCCACCGGGAAGAGCGAGGGAGCCCCCACCGCCCAATGATAATACCGCCGTCAAAGCCCATATATATCAAGCAAATCACTCAATTAAAAGGCTTTGTACAAATCCAATTTCTGAGAAGTGCACAAGTGGATTACCAAAGGAATTTCTTAATTTTAGTTCAAGTTAATCCCCTGTTGTTGTTCTTTTTTT